ACACACATGCACTCACGCACACACGCACACACACACACACACACACACACACACACTCACACACTCACACACACACACACTCTCACACACACACACACACACACACACACACAGAACTGATATGTGTGTGTTTGTGTATCTTTTATGATATTAGGATTTGTTCTGGATCTGTTCTGGAGTGTTTAATATGTAGTATATGTGAGGGATGATCAATCATTCGGTCATTATCGTGAAATAAAGCCAATCAGAGTGAGCAGGATGTTGTTTATTTCAGATCACTCTCATCTGTCATTCCTGAACTCCTCATTCTGTTGTTCTGCCAGCATCCAGTGGCTGTTTTCGTGTCAGAATGAATCTGTACTGTTCACCTGAGCATCATTCAGCTGTATGACAGGATGATTCGTCTGCGCAGTCATATGAACCGACTGCAGTTTCTTATGATCTTTTCATTTACATGTATGCATTTGGCAGATTCAAAGCAGTTTAAATTGCATTTAAGTTGCACATTTGATCAGTTCTTTCTTTCCCTGGGAATTGAACCCATGACCTTGGTGTTGCGAGCCCCATGATGTACTGTTTGAGATACAGGAATTATTTTTTTGTCCTCTCTTTTGTATTGTATCATTGTTTATGATTTATATAATCTGCAATGCATCAGGGGACACTGTCTTATCTTTTTTGTCTTTCCTGAATTTCATTTTTTGAATTTTATGTGCATTTTTCAAAAATATGACTGCAGTGAACAGTAGACAGTCAGAATTCAGATTCATGACAATTTTCCATCTTCTTTCTTATTTATTTATTTATTATGTCTCACGCAGACATGCAGTTTAAGAACTCTTTTTATCACTCTATAAATCAGAAAATACTGTCAGCAGACAGAAAACAAAGACATTTTCGCCATGTTTTGTTTTTAGGAATAAAATGTTATATAAATCAGTGTGAATAATATATGAACAAGCCCCTCAGTAAAATCCTTCAGAATATAGAGAGGAATAAAACTCTAAGTTTTGGTGTATGTAAGTGCTGCTGAAGTGGAGAAAAAACTCATTTTGAGAAAACGGCCTTTAAAGATATGCAATTTATATCTATAGATGTAAATAGATAAAGTGCAATAATAAAACCAGGTGAATGATATATCAACAAACCCTTCAGTAAAAACCTTCAGAATATAGAGAGGAATAAATCTCTAAGTTTTGGTGTTTGTAAGTGCTGCTGAAGTGGAGAAAAAACTCTTAAAGATATATACTGTAATTGAAATCTACAGGCGCAAATGGATAAAGTGCAATAAAATTAACACTTAAAAGAGTTTTTTCATGTTGCATGTGTTTTTATTTATTTTTTAACCTTTCCACCTTTTTCATCCTCTCTGCTATCGGTTTAGGACTTCTGTATGTAAATGTGCTTTATGATTTATTGACCTGTTCAGAAGTGAAACGAGTAACAAGACCTTCACTTTTGTTCCTGGTGTGTCGTCTGTAAAACTCTCAAATACTAGATCTAGTTCACTATGTTTGGTTTGGTTTGGCAGACTCTAATGGTTTATTTCCAGTGATCAGGAGTGTTTTTACAGTGAACACATGCAGTCAAATGAGTTCAGCGTCTGCTGAAGGTCACCGTTTCTCTTGTTTAACTCACATTAGCTAATGTTTCATGTCAACAAGCCATTTAAAGAGATGTGACGTCGGTCAGGGATTGACCCTTTGCTTTTGTATTCTTTTTTACTCGTACTATTTATGTATAATTTATTTTTATTTCAGTTTTACTTTTCATTTAATTCCAGTTAGTGATTTTAGTGCTTCAACTCAAGTTAATTAAGCAACTAACTTAAATTAGTTATATCACCGTATCTTTGCTTTTCCTCTTTATCACTAGTGAGTTTTGGAGGATGAAGACTTTAGTGTGTCATTTCTCTGCCTCCAGCTGTTGTTCACTGGTTCTCTGGTTCTTGTCATTGCTCTAGAAAACACAGGTGCTGTAGAGACGAGATCTACTTTAATGACCTGGTTTAATATTTCACAAATCACTTCAGATTCAGACTAACTGCAGCCTGATTTCACCTGATGTAGGTCATAAGTTACACACACACACACACACACACACACACACACTCACTCACACTTTAGTTTCAGTTTTTCTCGATTGCTTAAACACATTTCTTGAAACTATGCCTCGTATTCTCAAAACAGTAAACACAAATCCATAACGTCTCACCCAATTCCCCAAACATCCTATTTTCAGGTCAAAATGAAGCTCTACACTCAAAACCATTCACTCTTGCTGAAAAACCAAACTTTTCCCCCAGACATCACACACAAGCTTTCAAAAACACACACACACACACTACAACATAGTATTACACATTGGTGCAATAAATTCAAAACAATATATCCAAAACTGGTAAGTTATGTTGCTTGTGGTTCTCCCCCTCAAAAACCTTTTCACATGAACACAAAAGACACAACCAATGTATACATTGGCACATTTTTATTCATTCATGTACTACACAGCTCCTCCTCCTCCTTCTCCTCCTCTCCCTCCTCGACCTATTCCTTAATTTCTCTGTGGATCCATTTTTCCAAAGCTCAGTGAACTGATTCGGGCCCTTTTATCTATTTATTGAAGGATCTGATTGATGTGTGTTCAATTTTGACTCTTAGTGTTTCCACCTGGGTAATTGTTTGCTAATTGACCTCAAGCTGTGCTGACT